TATTTATGTGTATTTTTATGTAGTCTTAAAGTTACAACCGGCCCTTTGAGTGCAACCATAATGCTAATGTGGCCCGCGATGAAATTGAGTTTGACACCCCTGCTCTAAGGACATACAGGCAGGGGTAAGAGACACGATAAAAAAGCCCCAATGTCATGTGACTTGAGTTGAACTTGAGTCAGAGGATTAGTGCAGAGAATCTCCCTGATGATGGCAGCCTATTCACAGACAGGCTGAGTGGGCACACTAAAAATATCTGGTTACACATAAAATGAGGGGGAGAGTTTACATCAGCACTGAGATTGATGTCTGCACAGGGATATTTAAGACATGAAGTTATTGATTGAAAGGTCAACTTTGATCTTGTTAACATAATGAAAAATGACTTTATCCAAGGTCCATTCGGTAGCTGCTTTAGAGCTTTAAAACAAACCTTCGTCTACAGGTCAAGTTTACCAAGTTGTCATAGAAATGTTGATGTTCAAGAGTACCGTAAGTCCATCTTGCCATAAAAACCCTTTGCAGAGGAACAGCATGTGATATGCATTCATTATTATATTGTATTAAGTCTTTGTTTACATTTCAGTTTAGGTCCCTGGTGCCAAGCGGTTCTGCTGTAACCAATAAAGTATAAGCACTGTCACGGATATAAACTATCAATAATGGGATGCATTCATTTCTCAATTGGCTGATCGTGATGTGTCTGTGTTTACGTGCAGGCCCCAGTCACATGTCCCTGTATCTGATGCCCCATCGAGGAGCCGGCTTCTCCACGTGGTCCTTCGGAGACGGGACGCCTCAGTTCGATCTGAGTGGAGAGTATTTTGTGTTCTATTCTCGAGGCCTCGACGCCCCCTCATGGACCTTCTGGTTTGAAATACAGGTACTGCCTGCAGCCCGAGAAGAGTCTGTACACATTGTGCAATAACATTTTTATATTGGTGTTGTTTTCAGATTTTTTTTGCTCAAACTGCTTTCTATTTTTGGTAAGAGAATATAATCTGTTAGTCATTGCCATCTGTTGGCTTGGATTTTGAAGAGAAATTGCATCGACATTTTTTTGGCAGAACATTTTTATATCACTGACTCATTTTTCTAAATGTTAAATTACATGCTTTTTAATGAATTGGTTATGACTTGGGTATTTAAAGGAAACAATTGTTGACAGTGGCTTCTATTTTTAGACAGAGCCAGGCTGGTTCTTTACCCCTCTTCCCTGTATGCATGCTAAGCTAACCTGACCAGCTCCTATGCCCAACAACAAAATACCCAAACTATTATTTTAACACTGTTTTTTCCTTGCCAACAACATTCTGTAAATCACCAGGCACTGCTGCACATTTGACAGCTGAGTATTTAGACAGATGTTGAGTTTTGTTTTGATGTCATTCCTTTCATTCCTCACATCTCTGCATTTCTGAATACCTTTGCTTCAGTGATGTCTGCAGGAGATTAGCTCCTGGCAGGACACAGCAGGACTGCTGTCATGGGAGAACCTTTAAACTCCCAATTTGAAGACTTCATTTGACCAATTGTTGAGACAAACTCCATGACCTTTTAAAGACTCTTTTGAAATCCGTCGCATAAGCTCAAACACATGCAGCGTAACTAAGCCAAAGACAAGGTGTTCTTTTCTTAAGGCCTGGGATCACTGCTGGTCCTCTCACATGGTAACTCTGTGTTAACCAGGGGTCTGTCCTTCTCCTCCTCAGCCCCCCAGGGACCCGGACCCCTCAGGCCCCGAGGGGATGATCTCCGTTGCCATCTCCACCCACTATTTCTTCGGACAGGACAGTAGGACTGCTCAGCTGGAGGAAGTCCTCCGCAGGTTTCCCTCATGGGCTTTTCCTTCGTCTTGGGTCAGTACCTACGACATGTACCGATACTGAGGGACGCCAGATATCGCAGAGGACGGCGCCGAGGAGAGCTGAGGGTCAAAGGCCCCCCCCCCCGAGACATACAAACTGATTTTAAAGGAACAATACTGAGGACCAGCCCGGGCGCCTTTCCTCTCTGACACTCTAACACACTCCTGCTCCCTGAGAGACCCCCATCACTGTGTCAGCAGGCTTATAGCTAACGGAGCAGGAGGAGGCGCGGAGACACGGCAGAGGTAAGCCTATCAGAGAGCTTACAAACTCATCGTCCGAGGCCCCGGCAGACACAAGCCTCGTGCTCTCTCCTGGGTTAGCGAAACAAAGGGGTTCCGTTTTCCTTTTTATTTTTTTAAATCAATCTGTCGTGCCTTTGCTTTACTCGATCCATCTCACCCTCCTCCTCCTCACTTTCCCTCATGCCTCCTTCCTCGCCCATTCCTCCTGAATGAATAACCACTTCCCCTGCTAACCCCTCAGATTACATCAGGCTTCCTATGCAGGAATGAGCACTACCTGTAGAACCACTGTAGGTGTAGATACATACCGATGGATCTGTTTGACCCTTTCTCTGACTTTGACTGGAAACGTTGACACTTTGAAAGTTGCTTTTCACCAACATGCACTTGTTTATATTCTGAGCAAATCGTTTTTCTGTTAACAGTGAAATTGCTCATCTGAACTCCTCAGTAGCACCACTGATTAGCAAGTCGTACCGCTGTGTTTACATGAGGAACGCCAACAGTCTGCGTTAACTGTCAGAGAGCTGGCGTGCAGAGGCTGTGCCTGTTGGATGGAAACAGCTGACTAGAATCAAAATGTCAATGTGTCCTTTAAAGGAGCAGCCTTCCTGGGGAGTCTGTGCATAGGGCGATATAAGTCTTAATGTTTCAGCCTACTTGTGTTGAAATGGTCTTGAAACAGGGGCAGTCTGAATGTCCCGTGACTAGCATTATTCCCCGGGGCCTTGAGGGTGAGCGGCCGGAAAGCCAACCAACTCCACACTATAATTGTTACCAAATGTCATCACTATCTACAGAAAATACCCTCTGAGGTCATTGGGAAATAACCGACATTATGCATCGCCAAAAGCAGTTATATAGGTTTTATTTAAGGGTAAATTAAATGTAGATACCCTCAATCATTTAAACGTTCACATCGGTGCTGCTGCCGACAGCTCTTAGCAGTGTCTTTTCTTGTGTGTGTGTTGCTAATATTTCACATAGTTCACTCATCTCACGTGGAGCCTTTCCATCTAGAGCCGAAGTACCACAACTTGCTCCTTCAGATAGCCGGGCCCTGACAGCACCACGGTACATTCAGGGCCGGGTCACACTTGAAGAGAAGCGGTGCAGTGACTGGAGAGATTACACACAGGGGTTAAAGGTCAATCTCTCCTGGAGGAAATGCACTCGGCGTGTTGCGCTTGGTCGCTCATGTGAAAAGTGCCAAGAAAGCTAGAGGAAGGTTCAAGGATCACCGTAACATCGGTCATTTAAGTGCAAAGTGGTTGTTAATGTTGGTTTCGGAAAGTTCTAGAAATGAACAGGTGTGGGGGAGGAGCTTCACGGAGCTGTTTCACCACCTAACAAGCCGCCTGAGGGAGTATACTGGTGTCACCACTACCTCTGCAGTGATCCATACTTTGTGATAACAGCTTTTATTGTCCTCGTGTCGTGGTTTGAATGTGACTGTTGAACAAGTGGGAATGATTTAGCTCACTTTAGAGAGATTATTTTGAATGGAATATAAAGCACCGTTATGATGATCTGCAGGCGGTTAAATCCCATCTGTTATCAAGTGACCGTCCCCCAATTAGGAATCTGTTCAAACAACAATGTCCACTGTTGCTTGTCTAAAGTTTGACTCCCTCTCAATGTGGCATCGGGTTGTAAAGGCGTGGGAGAAAAACTCCTCGTTGTGATCCATGTTTTCCGACATGCTGACATGAAGGAGGCCTTAACATTTCGCTTCCAACGACACAAACTGTTTACTGTCGTAGAAACCAACGACTCAGTGGTTTTTAAAGCTATCAGGTGATGCACTGTTTTTATGCTGTTGTCTGTTGGAGAGTTTCAACTTAAATCCATCCCAGCCTTAGACGACACTCGGCAGTTAGCGGTCCTACTCTGCTCCTTCGCTTATGCACACGTCTTTAAAGTACTCTAACTCCATCTGTGTGTGAGAGCAGGTGACACATCTCTCCTCAGTGTCCCTTCATAAAACTAAACACATCAGACCTCTTCTGTTATGAATTCACTTAGACTGTATTGTAGGAATAGTTTTTTGTAATTGGCCGGTGAAAGAGATTTGATGCTACTCATCACGTTTGTTTCTTTTTGTCAATCCTAATAGGACCATACCTGTGTTTTGTGTGCGTTTTAGCCATTAACCCCAGATACTACAGTGAAAGCAAGTCAACCCCAAGGACAGTAGTTGGCAGTAATGTAAATGTGTGTGTAACAGATGCTGCTGCTGCGTTAACTCAGTGCTGCTCTCCCCGAACCTCAACAGACACACACATCAGTGTGTAGATGCTTATTTAAGTGACTTGAGTTGATCTAAATCTGTTTTATTGAAAGTGAATATGCAGAGCGTCTACGGGAGGAAAAGCTTTATTAACAAGTGTAAATGGTTATTTTCTAATCATCTGTGGAAAGTCATAGGCCTATAGTGATTTTGTTAGACACTGATGAAAGACGTCTCGATTTAAAACGCTGTGAAACGGCTCCCCTGACGCCGTTGGTGCTCCCACTGTTAGAGTAAAGAAACACAGAGAGAGCTTAACATAAATTAAACAGTGATTTGATTTGAAATAGTTTGCAACAGAATCTAATGTAACTCAGTTTAGACTGAGAGGTTGGGTAGAATCACACTAGGATGTAGCGTTACCTTCATCACACAATGTACTGACATCTATTCTGGGACACAGGGAAACGTCTTAATGCCTGGATGTCCTTCTTTTTTAAAAGATGTTCAAATTGTTTTGTTGTAGTTACCTGTTCCAACATCACTCATGCCTACTTCTCTAACTGTTGTTCAATTAATGTTATTTTTTTTTTAAACTGATGATTTTGTTCATTTTTGTGAGTTATTTGAAATGTTCAATAACTCCTTGAACTGCTGTTTTGCTTCATTGCATATTTGTCTTTCAATTGAAATGAACTGATTGATATGACTGGTTTTATTGGGAATGATCTGGTGACAGGGTATCCATCTGTTGATTGGACAGGATGATTTGATCTTATGCAAAAAGCTTGAATTAAATTAGCACCTGTACAGCATTAAAAACGCTTATTACAATATTGTTGTTGGTTGTATTGTCCTTTTTAAACTCGGTTCATATTTCAATAGCCTCCATGTCATGTTAGAATCAAACTTTACAGATAAGACAAATGGTTTTATTAGATTTCAGGGTTTCTTCTCTATAGAATATGAATATCGACTCAATGCAGCATTACAGATTAGGATAGGTGATTGTAGCACTCCTTTTTGTTTGTGCTTTGGAATTTGCCACGAGTAATAGTGAGAGAAGTGTATTTATTTAAAAAAATGTTAAATCAGTTCATGCTGTCACATGAAACCAATGTACTATTATTTTGTATATAAATGATTTAGCATTAATATTAAATTCCTCCTGGCTCATATCACTACATGTAAACAGCAGAAACACAGGCCACTCATCATTTTTAAAAATAATTTATTGGTCTTTTATGTACAAGGAGAACAAATGAAGTAGAAAACCAAACATGAGTTGAAAAGGCAAATGTACGAGAGTATTTTTACACTGCACTGAGGATGTTTGCTGCCGATGCCCCAGAAAAAAAAGAAAAAGAAATCTAATCAGGAAACAATTTAAACTGTACACGGAGGGGAGGGGGGGGGATGTACCATGACCTGCCCCCACCTGCAGAGAAGGGAACCAGAAAACATCTGCAGTATTCATCATTTCCCTAGGAAACTGTCTCGTCAGAATGAGTTTGAGCATCAATGGTTAGATTCTGAGGAGGGGGGAGGGGTGAGGGTGTTTTTGTTTTCTCCCATTTGCGTCGTGAGACACTCGATTTGAAGCAACCGGTGGGAGCAGAAGGCCTCTGGTCGTCAAGTCTTTGGTTCGTCGTGTTACCGTTTTTCAAGTAAAGCGTACAGCGGAGCAGCGTAGTGTTGCTGTACGCTTGTTCGGGGGGGAGGGGGTTATGTTGAGTTCATCACTCTGCCCTTTTGAGAGTGTTTGAACAACACAGGCAATTCATACATGATACGATACGACACCCGACTCATCTCATTACAAGAGAGCTAAAAGGTATCTATAAAATATAATTTGGTCTATCATGGTCAGTAAAAGCTGGGGAAAAGAACATACAAAAATAAAGCTGAGTAACATTTCGATACATTGCACAATATAATACTGACTGATGAACCGTTTAGTTCCTGCGGTAGAGAGCCAATACACGAGTTTGATTTCATCAAAGGGGGACAAGTTTGTTATCAGTCATTAAAAACAAACCGAGCAAAATTCAGAGGCAGCTATAATGCCAATAAATAATACCATAAATGAAGACTAATACAATTAGAATCTATTTGCATGTGATGAGTCACCAAGCAAGTCAACACGTTCTCAATACAATGTGGTACACGCATCCAGGTAATCCACACAAACCAGAAATCAGTCTTAGAGGTTCAGGGAGGTGATATGCCAAGTCAAATTACAATTCTTCCATTACAGCCAATGATACTGACTGTTAACACTGCTGCTGAGGGAAGGGATGGATCCTCTTTCAATAAGTATGAAGTCTTCAGAGTAGGATGGATTTAATAACACAAAATCTGCCTCGCTGATGAAAGGAAACACATTCTCATCTCCCAGACGGACACTTAAACCCAAATGTGTGTTTAAAAGCTGGAGAACATATCACATCATTTGGTTTTTATGGCGCTTTAAATCTGCTCAACACTGCTCTGACTGTTGTCTTAAATCTGGAACACGTGAAGAATATCAGACAGCGCACTCGGACATATTTGGGTCTGGGTATCAGCAAACGTGGTGTACGAAATGTGTTTGGAAACTAATCCGCACACTCCGCGATCGTATTCTCAGAAATGCTCAGGGCGCCACTTCTCAAAGAATTCATACCATGCTTCTAAGGGGAGGCTCAAGAAGGACGAGGTGTAATGGATAGAAAAATAATGTTATTTTGTACACTGTTACATTATTGAAAAAGGTATCACAAAATATTTTTTTTTAAATCATATGAGGTATGAAAGTATGAAACACCTCTCGTGCACGCCGTGGGCTCAGACACACTTCCTGTAAATGGTTCACGACTAGAGCTTTGTTCTACGTTTTGCTAGGCGATGTAGCATGATGCTAACACACTCAGGGCTCGCCTGTGAACTGATTCTTGCACACATTACACCAAAGGAAACAAATGGAGCTTCTTGTCTGGACAGTGAAAAGAAATAAAACGTTCCAAAGCCTCCAGTTGAACTTGAGTGTCAAACAAAAAGCTACGCACACAGAATATTTTTCTTAGAATTTGAACAAATGAAATGTGCTGGTCCACAGCTTCCACACACCTGATGGATAGACGCACAAACTGACGGGTGGCTTTTGTCTAACAGCACATTATGGTCTGTGAGACGTCTGGTTTGTAGCTTGGTATCCACAGGGGGGTACATCTGAGGAGTGGATAATACTGACTGAAGTAAGAACCTGCAGGAGAGGTACTTTCTGCACACACACACACACACACACACACTCAGACACACACACACACTCAGACACACACACACTCCAACAAGAGTATATTTCCAGTCCAGCCCCTGCTGCGCCCCCCTCTGTCACAGGTGTGAGTCCAGAGGAGGCTCCTGGCTTCATGACAGGGTGCAGTCGTAGGCCCCCTCCTCCTCCCCCTGCTCCTCCGTCTGTTCGGGGGGACACTCCTCAGAGGGGGGACGGGGGAACCCTCCCGGGGGTTCCAGGGAGGGCAGGGCGAGGCCCAGAGGAGCCGCTACTCCTCGGATGTCCTCCGCCCGGGGCGCCGCGGCCCCTCCCGGACCCTCGGAGCTGCCCAGCTTGGAGCTCTGGCTGGTGGGCTGGAAGGCCTCGGGCTGCACCGCCTCCACCGCCGCCTCCATCAGGTCCTGCAGCTGGGGCTGGATCAGGCTCAGGAAGGGTTTGTAGCCCAGGCTGGAGAAAGGATGAGAGTGAGGAGGGAAAGAGGTCAGAGTGGGTACATTTTCTACCATTTTTGGATTGTTCCAACACAGGGGTGTCCAAACTTATTTCACCGAGGGCCACATACAGACAAATATATGAAGGGCTGGGCCACTCACTAGAGGTGAGGTTTATCGCCTCTTACGTTCAGTTATAAGTTGGAAAAATCAACCCAATGTAGGTCAACGATTGTTGATACTGGAAAATGCTGTTAGAAACACAACAGCCTTCATCACAGCTCTCTATAGGGTTTACTTGATTTAGTTTGCAGCTCATGCCTTAAAACAGAAGCTTCAGATTGCTTATAAAAAGATTTGATATGCAACTAAGTGATTGGGCTTTTTAAATGAACTAAGATTAGTTTGAAAATGTTTCCAACTTTAATTTATTTGAAAAATGGGCACAATTTATGAATGAATTTGCCCTCATTTTGTTTTATACAAGCCACTGTCATTGTTAAGACAAGAGAACTATATACAAGTCTCACAAGAGGGTAATGTGCACTGTTCTGGTTGTATCTATTTTTTTTATGTTTTACGATTTCCTATACATTGCACTGTTGTTTGACTTCGGTCAACCTCTGTTGTTTTAAAATGTGCTCTCTAAAGAAACTAAGCTTGAATCTCACATCACAAGCATCCAGAGTGTTAAAATGCTTATTTCATGTTTGTGTTCAGCTGCCTTAACCAGTGCTGCAGAGTTCATCACATAATGGCTACTAATCACTTATATTCTGATTCCAAAAAGGATGCTTTCTATGTAAAAATGTCATTACACTTCAAAGTTACACCCACCAGTTAGTGGACACCCACGAGTCGACAGCCAATAGGCCGTTCCGGATGCTCTGCACAGTTTCCTGGGGGACCTCGGGGCTGTCCAGGAAGCAGATCACCTGCTTTATGACGTTGGCATCCCGCAGGATCAAACCAATCACCACACACCACTCCAGACAGCCCGCCTCCATGAACACATGAAGGAGGTACCTGAAGGGGGAGAGAGACACCGCTGTCAAATACAGGCTTATGATTTACATTGGATCAAACCCAACTGCAGAGGGACCATGGGGAGGAGAGTTAGAGGGGTTTGGGGTCTCACCTGAGCTGCACCTGTGACTTGTGCGGGCCTTTGTTAGCCAGCTCCATGGAGATGTGCTCCAACTCGGCCTGACTGAGACTCAGAGTGGACGAGTTCTCATCAACCATCATCCAATCACCATCCACCACCGAGCTGGTCTCCGTCAGGTCTGTGGCCGAGCCCACGCTGTACTCCTCCACTAGAGGGGAGAGAAAGAGAAGGATTAAGAGAGGAAATAGGGATTCATTTAAATACTTCTCCTGTTAGTAACTGCTTTTTACCTTTGTTGGTGAGCAGAGACAGGATGGCGTCGTGTGTCTGTGGAGAGTGTTGGTTGGAGTGGGCGGAGGAGGCCGTGTCCATGTCCTTGGCTCTGTCCTCCAGCCTGTCCAGCCAGCTGTGGCTGGTGTTGTCCGCCTGAAGGGGCCCCGTGTCCATGTCGCTGTTCAGCAGACTGTCAGCCGACTGAGACTTCAACAGCCGAGTGCTCAGCGCTTAGGAAACAACAAAAACACAACATGAAATATTAGGATAGAGCTGAGAGCTAACTGGGGAAGCAGAGGGCCAACTTTGGTTCATGTTCGGTCACCTATTATGATAAACCCACTTTTTCATGTCTTTTATACATAAACATGTGTCCCCTCTGTGTGAAGACATTCGGAAAGTTTCATTCCCTTCTCTCAAAATCCTGTCTGAAAATGAGCTGATCAGATTTTGGCCACTTTATGATGTCATAATGTTTTTTTGGGTTGTGTAACTATTAGCCAATCACCAACCAAGGTAACCCCCCCCTCCTGCATCGTGTCTCGCTCACCTGGGCGACAGCGTCCGTTCTTCAGAGGCGAGCTGATGCTTCCCACGGGGATAACAGGGAAGGGCCAGAGGAAGTCCTTATGGAGTCGCTTCAACGCAGACACAAAGTCCTCGACCCGGGCCACGCGGTTCCGTTCCCGACACAACCAGCCGATGAGTTCGAAGCCCAGCTGTGCGGAGAAGCATCCCAGGTCTCGGAGGCG